GGAAGATCTTGGGGGAATAAAGGTTCATCACATGAGCTAGGGATAGCTCATCCCCCGTTTCTTAGCACAAGCGCCGAAGACAAGCAATTGTCCTCCACACGGAAGGACTCACCTATGCCAAACATACCTGGCAGCGGAGGCAAAACTCCACAATAACGGAGTCAAGCTCTCCACTCAGAGAAAACGTCCCCAAAGTGAAGGGATAAATATAGAAGTACGTAAAACCCTTCTTGGGTAAGGTTACCCGCTCTGCCAAATCAAGAGCGATAATGTCTAAATTATGTCAATGACAATCTTCCTTCACAACATGATCACTGGAAGGATGGATGGAAGAAGGATATCTACCAACGGCCCATATACGAGGGTTAGCAGAAGGAAATTTCTCTTCGAAGTCTTTAGTTGTGACAAGGCTTCTAGGGATGTGGTGCTCGTTGTCTGAGTAGCAGCTTCATCGGCTTTGCTTTTGTTCTTTGGGGAACTAAGATTTTTTGAAGAAGAAGCCATTTTATATTAGAGAAGAAGAAAAGGCTTTTCTCTTATGAAGAGAATTAAAATATTGAAGAACATAGTACAAGCTGAATGAAGAGAGTTTGAGAGAGTTTGGAGAATTATGAGGTATAAATAAAGGAGGTTGATGCGTATAATTAAAGGTTTAGGCGGCTAAATTCGTGGCCATAATTACGTCGATAGCCGGCAAAAGTTATGCTGAATCGTGGTATGACGTGTGTTCGGGGCATTAAATATGGAGAGACATGCGTCTTATCAACCATCAGAAGCTTTTCAGAGGGGGTCAGTGAAATCCCGCCAAAAAGAATGTTTCTACCAACTTCCCGATGACACAAAATTATATCACTGAAAAGCAGGAGGACTATCTGTATAGGGTGAAATGTGTTATATTAAGTAATTGCTTAAGAGAGTTACATGTGGAGCCGAAGGCAGAGGATAGCTAAAACTGAAGACAACTATTCTATTTGTTATCGGAAAGAATGATGATCATAAAGATGCAATAAATACCTACCACCCGGTAGTATTTAATGGAGAATATTCTACAACATTTAATACACTGCCCGTTATAAAGAATTTGTCAGTCGTACCCGCCGTTACACATTCTTTAATGGCCCTCATAACTGACATTAAAGAGGGGCATGATCCTACGACCTTGTTCCCTAGGTGAAGCTTTAAATAGTAAGCTCTATTATCATTGTAAGGAATGCGTATTTTCTGGCAAACTTATGCTATAATCTATTCAGAGCTTTATAAAATTTTATCCTCTTGATTTTTAATTACATTACTGTTGTGCCCGGAATCCCTGCTCCCGAAACTATTGTTTCTGCTATTTCATCTCTATCTCCAGGCTAAGTATTGCATATTTATATAATTCTTTTATTATTTCAGGATCGAATTAATTCACTTGCCTAGAACTCACGTATAAATTCAACTGTACCTTCTTACCGGTAAACAATATTATTAAAAGCAACTTGAGTGGCTGTTTTAGTTTGTTATTAAATAGAAAGTTATATAAACAATAAGGGTTTTAGCAAATTCGTATTAGTGCAAAAAAGTTCCTTCTTTCTTTGCTTTAGACATAGCAAAGTAAGCACTAAATAAGTCGCTAATTAAAAAATTATTTCGAAACACTACACCAATAAGTAAAAATAACATAATAATGTTGACTATCTAATACACCTTTTAATGAGAAAATGACAAGAAGGTTCCCTAGGTTTAACTAGGGTTTACTCCTTTAAGTATCCTCATCAATATTTAATAAATTATGACTGAAATTTTAGCGAAAATTGACAAAAAAAATATTTAACTAAAAACACTAGTAAAGTCCCCCAAATCCTAGAAAGTGCGACCCAAAAAATGCATTAGACATCAGAAATAGATTAAAAAGAGTAGAAATTTTACCTCAAAAAACTGCACCAAACACAAAAATAGACCCCCAAAAATGAAGATGATCCTGGAAAATAATGCATTAAATACAAAAATTGATGAAACTGTAAGAACTTCTAACCATCAAAGTTTATTAAATATTTGATAGAAACTAATTTTTTAAGGATTAAAACTACTCAAAAGTATGCCTGAGGAATGGAGATGGAGTACGATGATCTCTTTGTATAAGAATATGGGTGACATTCGAAATTATAATAATTATAGGGATATCAAACTGCCAAGTTAAACTATGAAAGTTTGAGAGGGGGTGGTGGAGATGCAGCGAGGAAGAGTGTGTATATTTCTATGAACCGGTTCGGATTCATGCCGGGACGTTAGACCACGAAAGTCATCCATCTTGTGAGGAGATTGGTGGAGCAGTATAGTGAGAGGAAGAGGAACATGGATATGGTGTTTATTGATCTAGAAAATGCTTACGATAAGGTCCCAAGAGAGGATTTATGGAGATGTTTGGAGGTTAAAGGTGTACATGTAGCTTACATTAGCATGATTAAGGACATATATGATGGAGCTATAACTCGGTTAAAATAATGGGAGGAGAATAAAGTTACTTTCCAATCATGGTGGGTTTACAATAGGGATAGCTCTTTATCCGTTTTTATTTTTCTTGGTGATGGATGTATTGATGTGTAACACTCAATGGAAGGTGTCATGTTGTATGTTCTTTCCAAATGACATAGTACAGATTGAGGAGATGAGAGGCAAAGTTAACATTAGGCTCGAGGTTTGGAGACAGACCCTAGAGTATAAAGGTTTCAAGTTGAGCAGGACTAAAACAGAATACTTGAAGTGCAAATTTAGTGATGTAACATTGGAGGCTGACGTGGAAGTGAGGCTAGACTCACAAGTGATCTCTAAGAGAGTAAGTCTCAAGTATCTTGGGTCATGGGTCAGAATCCAAGGCAATAGGCTGATTGGCGATAATGTCACACATTGTATTGGAGCGGGATAGATGAAATAGAGGCTAGCATCTAGTATCTTGTGTGATAAGAACATGCCATCAACTCTTAAATGTAAGTTTTACAAAATGTTGGTTATACCGACTTTGTTGTATGGGCGGAGTGTTAGCTAGTTGAGAATTTTCACGCCCAGAAGATGAGACTAGCGAAAGTGAGGAAGCTGAGATAAATCTGTAGACATACTATGCGAGATGCGATTAGAAATGAAGATATTCAGGACAAGATAGGTGTTGCCTCCATGATGGACAAGATGCGGGATGCGAGGCTGAGATGGTTCGGGCATGTGAAGAGGAGATGTCCAGATGCCCCAGTGAGAAGGTATAAGAGATTGACGATAGTGGATATGAGGGGAGGTAGAGGTAGACCGAATAAGTATTGGGGAGAAGTGATTAGGCAGGAAATGGCGCATCTCCAACTTACCGAGGATATGACCATTGATAAGAGGATGTGGCAGTTGAGAATTAGGGTAGAAGGATAGTAGGCAGTCGAATATCTTTCCTTTTATTTCAATAGTAGTAGCATTATTCTCGTATTTCCATATATTCTTAGATTTCTATGATTACCCGATATTCTATTTGTTTTGGTTTTTCTATTATCTTGTTGTTGTTATTGGTTTTTGACTTTTTTACTACTGTTTTTCTTTCTTTATTGTGATTTGATTATGTATGCTTGCTTTGAGGCGAGAGTCTATTAAAAATAATCTCTTTACCTGTAGAGGGTAGGGATAAGATTGCATACACATTATTGTTATTGTTAATCTGCTCAAAAATATATTTAGTGGACTATTTTAAATTTATCCATAAGCACAACAGAACCATTTTTATCATTTTCTCCCTTTTTTATACTGGAAATACAAAGAGGAATATGGTAGTAGCTATTCAATGGAGTATGTATTACTCCCTCCGTTTCAATTTATGTGAACTTATTTTTTTTTTAATTCGTGCAATAAAGAATGACCTTTTTTCCTTATTTGAAAATAATTTACCTTTACATAATGATTTATAGTCACATAAAATATATGTGCCTCATTTTACATCAAAAGATCAAAAGTCTTTTCTCTTTTCTTAAACTCCATGTCACTCAAATGAGTTCACGTGAATTGAAACGGAGGAAGTAAGATTTAAGAACGAGAATTGGTCTGGATGCTTCACTCCTCGCGCAAGCAATCGAAAAAACCGTCAATCATCCGCACACTACACCGGGGCCCACATATTTTTGTCCTATTTAGCATCCAAACGACATCGTTTAACTGCAAACTTCCTCAATTGTCTAGACATTGTTACCGGCTATCCCGGTACATCCTCACCCAAAAATAATTCACTATATCATGCTTGCGCTCGTTCTTCGAGACAGTTTCTAAATCGTTCCCAGAGTAAGAGTAGCACTAGCACCGTTATCTTCAACTCTCCTAATCTGCCTTTCACTTCTGTAAGTATTACAAAATTCAGCTTTATTTTGTGTACTATTAGCGCAAATTTAACTTGTTATAACTGGTTCTGTGGTTTTGTGATTGGATTATACGATCATTGACTTATCCATCAGTTATTCTTCTGCTTTAGCTTATTAACTAGTTGATTGGATAGGGTTTTGGTTTTGGAATTTGGTTTTGGAATTTGTGCATCTTCTGAGGGAAGGTTGGAGATTTTGTATATGCATATCTTTTCTTGTATGTATTTTCTGTAACTAATGTTGATTGGAAACAGCCTCTCTACCTTTACTTTACTGGGTAGGGTAGGGGTAAGGTCTGTGTCCGCTCTAACCTCTCCATATTCCACTTGTGGGAATATACTGTGTTTGTTGTTGTTGTTGTAGATGTTGATTGCTCAAATTGAATGTTAAGAACTTTTGTATAAGCTTTACACATACACATGTTTACTTAATTATAAATTGATGGAGAGAGAGAGAGAGAGTTTTAATTTGCTGGCAAACAGTTAGAAATTGAGGGATGACATATTAATTTTGTTATAATATGTTGAGGTGTGTTTGCAGTCTGGAGATGTGTTAAAGTAGCGGAGATTCTAATGTTTGGTTTTGGAGGCGTAAATATGCTTTCTTTTACAGGACAAAGTATTTGCCTTGAAACTTCTGTTTTGATATTTGTCGACTTGCTAGTAGCATGACTATCTCTGTAAAGCATCAATCAATGTTAAAACTAGCGTCTGGATAGGTGCAAAATATTACAAAATGTGAAGTACTGGAAATTCTTTATTACCTTCTCTTATTTTATTTTTCTTGAAAATATTTTATTTTTAAATGTGTTTCATGCTTTTATTAGCTCCTGAGCTCTAATCTCTATTCATTTTTCCATTTCCGCTCTCTTTCTCCCTTATTAATGTGAAGCGTGTTGAGTCTCATTGCGAAAATGGCGAATAATGTGGAAGGGGACGAAGCTACTCCTCATAGAAATGAGTGGGAAGTGGTAACGCTTACGCAGTCGGTATATGCTGCTGCCCCTGGTCCAAAACAGGTCGGCCTCGTTGATGATAATAGTGCAGAGTATGTAGCTGAAACTTCTGATCCAATGTTTATGTCGGGGCACTTTGTCGTTCCACCAAATCAGCATGAGGATTCAGCATTGCAACCTGATAATGATGAGATACCTAGTGAGCAGGGTGGAAAAGATGCTTCTCCTGAACTTGTTACTGATAAAGGGGTTAATTCAGATATAGATGGACAAAGTACAAAAACTAAAGTATTTAGCACGACGGAATTTTCTGGAGATCAAATATTTGATAAAAAGGGTAGCATTTTGTCCGCATGTGGTGCAGAATTTGAAGAAGATGCAGTCTTGCAGGGCTTCGGTTTGGTGGACAAAGAGCAGAATTTCTTTGATGCTACTACTTATAGTTCTTTCCATAGCGAAGAACCCATGGGTGGGTCAGCATCAACAGAGGAAAGCAATATTGTTGCAGAACCAGTTGAACCTGTTCACCAGGGTATAGATTCAGGCATATCAAATTGTCCAAAGGCTAAAGATGAAGATAACTATGATGCAGAAAATCTTCCTTGCCAAGCGTGGTGGAAAAGGCGGGCTGTTTCACTTATTGCCCATGCAAAAGATGCAAATGCATTCTGGTCCATTTTCGTTGCCGCAGCTGTTATGGGCCTTGTGGTTATTGGTCAGAGATGGCAGCTAGAAAGGTGGCAGGTATTGCAAATGAAGTGGCAGTTTGGAGGCAATGATGAGGTAAGTTTGTTGCTATTCTTATTGAAATAGTTCAAACTGCTGTCGTCCCTGATTGACCATGTTCTACCTCGGTCCTGACATTGGTAGGGAAATTTTTTGTCAATTAGCTGAATCATGTTGAAGTGATTGATTACTTAACGTTTGCCGTAATTTCGATTGTAACTTCCTGAAAAGGAGGTGATTACATGATTTTAATACTTCCTAAGTTGTTGGGGTTAGAGAAAGGTAAATACTAGCAAATCAGATATCTAATGGAGATAAGGATCGGAAGAAACACAGGATTACACTCCAATTTGCTGGATTTAAATAAGGTCGTTTCAGGAGGTCTTCTTTAGCTTTCCTTTCTCCTCCCTCCCATTGCTCTAATTCTTTTCTTCTTTTATCTGTCCAGATTCCATGTCATTCATTTTGAAGAATAGTGGCACCATAAGATGTTGCAGACACCAGATAACAAAATACCCTACTTGCTGTTTCACCCTTTTGTTTCTTCCTAAGTTCACCTTTTCTTGTACTGCTTGAATCCGTTGTTATCGAGAGATTTCAATCTTTCAAATATCACTATAATTTTGGTAATGCTGAAACATTTATTCTGCTTTACCTGGAAGCAGTGCATATTCGTGTTCCAGGATACATGTGGGATATGTATTTTACTTTGTCAATTATTTTGGCATGTCATTCACTAGTTGGATATAAAGTGGGAATGGGAATGGAATGATATAAAGAAATTTCTTCCCCGGCTATATGAGAGGTCTTTTAGGAGGTGAAAGGGAGGATTCGATGATATTGAGGTGATGGTGAGTTTCTTGTATCAGAGTGAATCATCCAGAGATGGAATAGAAGGGTGATGTGAAAGAAAGTGGGAGATACTAAGGCTTCCAGAAGGTAGCTTCCGTTACTTGGTGCACGTAGGAGATGCAATGATAACAGTAGGTAATTCAAGGGAGAGGAGGGTTGTGGTGAGTTGGTATAGCTTGTGGTGGTAGTGGGGGAATACACATACCATAGCCTACTACAATGCAAATACACCGCTCAATTTGGCAGTAGATTTTTCTTATTGAGCTTGTTTCCCTCAGTATTTCGGCTGTCATTTGAGTTCTTACAACTAAATTTTAGGTTCTCAACCTATGAGTGGAAGTTGTTTTGCTCCCTTGGCAGCCTTAACTTTTTCTTCTTAAGTTGACTAAGGCAGGCTATTTTAAAAGATAAGAGGGCCCAACAAATAGGATCGAGTCTTGGAGGGGCTGATGGTATGAGAAAGCTTCACTCTGCTTCTTCTTTCTGATCTAGTCGATAACATGTAGATAAGACAGAGTGCTGAAAAATTAACTCTAAAACAAGACAGATTGAATACTCTAAAGAGTTTAATGATCCTTTCTGTGGGGTTAAAATATTTGAAGAAAGATTGCAGCCAAATAGTACCTATGAGAGCCTAGTCTTAATAACATTAGATGAGATGGCCGAACAGTGAGAAACATGAGCTGAATTAATGACGTTATACACGTGGATGATTTATGGGGTTTAAGATTCTCTTAAACCATATTGCCGTATTTCATATTTGCCGCTAATATTTCATCCTGCTATAAATTGCGTTTTTGGATTCACCTACTTGCTTTCTACACATCGACAGAGAATGGGCAAGACGATTATTAGTCCCATATCCCGACTGAAAGATATGATGATTGGGAGTGATCGACGTGGTTCCTTTATCCGCGGGAGTTCGTCAGCACAACGTTGAGATGATGATGACGACGAAAATGAGTTCTTCCCTGTGCAGTACATGTGCTAGGTTTCCTTTTCAGTGTACCTAATTTTTTTTTTTGTTGCTTTTGACTGAGCCTAATGAGTTCAGTGTTGTTGGTGGTGGGGTTGTAATGGTGGGATCTATGAGCAATAACTATAATTTATAACCATTAGAAAGTGAGATAGGGAACATGAAGTGTTGGATACTAAAGGGTAACTTTTTTTATTGGCTGAAGGTGATATCCGGATCCATACGTGTGCATCTCGACTATTTCATCGGCTACTCTTACTTCCCACTAGCACAAGTACTAAGTGACCGCCCACAAAGATTAGGCAGATAATAGGAAATCACTCAGTATTTTTTTGAGATTAAAGAGCAGTTTTTACTAGATGTGATAATATATTGCCTCGTTGCCTTTGTTAAGGAGCGCGTTACCTCACAATGTGAAATTTTCCGGTGCGAATTCGAATTTAGTCGGGCTCCAATACAAATATGAAACACCGGGAAACCAAAATTAATAAGATGTTGTTTCAGATGCTACAATCCAAACTGCCTTGGCAATTTTGGACAACATGAGGACGTTATTAACATCATACACTAAAGGAAAATATTTTATTATAAATTTTTGATTGATCTCTCAAATTCTTTATTTCCTCCATACTTCTTCACATATAAAATAAGCTATCAATACTTGAAACATATTTCAACTAGAAACATGACAGCATATTTCTACATTTATTCTAACTGCAAATCCTATTTAGATATGAATTAAATAAATCAAATCTTAAATAACTAAGGTTTCCTACTACAACTTTGAATTAGTTTTCTAACATTTTCCCGTAATTCAAAGTTGTATACGTCTGATTTGTTCGTTATGCAGTTATGTTGGAGCACATCTCTCCAACTTTCACTTTTCATGAAACGCATGTCTTCATCCCTCGATTTTGTTGAAGCATCTGTCTCCAACTCACGTTGATGCACTTTGCCACCAACACTCAATTTTGTTGAAGCCCCTATCTCCAACTCGCGCTGATGCACTTTGTCACCAACACTCAATTTTGTTGAAGCCCCCTCCCCCCCCTCCCCTCCAACTCACGTTGATGCATTTTGTCACCAATCGTTGATGCACTTAGTCACCAACACTCAATTTTTGTTGAAGCCCCTGTCTCCAACTCACGTTGATGCACTTTGTCACCAACACCCAATTTCGTTGAAACACATAATCAACTTCCAACTTTTTTAAACCTCTCCAACTTTTAGTGAAGAGTTTCTTCATCTTGTGCCATATTTGTTGCATCTCTTTAAACTTGGTTTTTTTTTAATCTGTTATCGAACTTTTCATCGAATAACCTAATTTTGTCGACAACTATCTATGATTTGCCACCATATTTTTTGACAAGACGGGCGGCACACATTCTAGCGCCGCCCGCCGGCAGCGGAAGCTACTTGATTCTCTCCCAAGATCGTAGAAGCTATGATACCAATATAAAGGAAAATATTTTATTATAAATTTTTGATTGATTTCTCAAATTCTTTATTTCCTCCACACTTCTCCACACATAAAATAAGTTATCAATACCCCTATTTATAATAGTATGAAACTTATTTCAACTAGAAACATGAAAGTCTATTCCTACATTTATTGTAATTGCAAATCCTATTTAGACATGAATTAAATAAATCAAATCATAAATAACTAAGGTTTCCTACTACAACTTTGAATTAGAGGGGTGTTCATGGTGCGGTATGGTATGGTTTGAAATTTTTTTCGGTAATTTCAGTTTTCGATTTTAAAAATACTATACCATTGTTATACAAATTAATTTGGTATGGTTGGGTATTTTTAAGTTCGATTTTGGTAATATATGGTACGGTAAGTTGGTAACCACGATTTGTTCGACTTCAACTTATTATAGAGCACAGAAATGCTAAAGGAAAAAGGTAAATGTTAGAAAAGGTAAAAACTTCATTTGACAACATCCTAAACAATTACTGCTTGAGATCATGGTGATTATCAGCTACTTAAGTTTACCCTTTTGAGTTGAATGCACTTTTAAGGAAACATCCAATATCAGATTAACACCTTAAATACACATACAGAAATATTCAAGGAAAGCAAATGCAATTCCCTTATTCGTTAATCAATTATCACATGAAGGATATATTTCAATTAAGATAAACAACTTCTTCGAGTGTAACAACAAGGTATTCATGTAATTAGCAAAAAACCAAAGCAAGATAATGTTGGCCTTTTATAATCAAATAGATAGTTATATTAGAAGTCCTTAATATCATCTTTAAATTTAGAATTTTAGGCCCTTTATTAATCTATATTTAAACAATTGAATATTTATTATTATTTATATATTATTCTCTCAGCTTCAAAAAGAATGAACATATAACTATTTGGGGAGTCAAACAAGATTTTCTTTGATTATAATTTTTGCATATAATTTTTAGATATTTTGAATTGTTAACTATTGTAACTTATACTACTTTTTATGTAGTTTTTAAATATGTACATTTTATTTCAAAAAAAAACAAATCATAAAAAATCTATATCCAGATTCACATCGAAAATTAATTAATTTGACAAAGGTTCAAAAAATTGAAATGAAGGGAGTAATATAATATATATGGATCATACAAGCAATTAAAAATTTATGTAAGATATTCGGTGTTTCAGTATTTTTTTACAAATACAGATTATTTTTATCGAATGCTAATCTTTTTTTAAAATAAATATCAAATATCATGCCGAATATTGAAATACGAATGAGGACACTAGATTTGGGGTTGCATGTCCAAATCTAATGGATAGATGATAGGGGTTTTTTAACTATACTTGTAACTATTTTTCCTGGTAATAATAAAATTAATTACCAAAAAAAAATATCGAAATACGAATACTGCATGAAATTTTTCGATTTCGATATGGTAATTCAGTATTTACAGTGCACACCCCGAAGCTAAAGCCACAAGATTAGGAAGATTAGGCTGGGGAATGGACTCAAACACGATTGTGTTTAAGGACTCAAACAGCTGAGAGCATTGTTCCTTTTATATTCCATTGAGAAACAGGAATTTTTAAAAATTCACCTCAACATTAAATCAGAAAACTTGTCAACGTTCTGACACTGTCCTTTGGCGTGTTCCTTGAACTTGAAAAATCTGAAAATGCAGATATGCCTGACTGAAGAAATTTTAGTTGAGCAAGACTAAATCAGAACACAGGTGACAAATGAGTTCATAGTTTTGATATTTGCTTGGCATAACAGGAGACGATAATGTTGCCGTGAAAAATTGACGCCAATAATGAAAAAGTTCAGCCAATAAGCTCGTACGAACCGGAGTAGGGATGGCAAACAGAACGAGGCACACCGGAGTCGGGATTGCAAACAGAACGAGGCACGACAGGTGAAGAACAGCAGTAGAAAGGCCATTTTCCATCGGGAAATCGTACATTTAATGTAGCATGTGATGATTTAACTTAGAAAAATTAATCATATTATCATGTCATCTAAAAGATACATGCAACCTGCTACGACATGTTAAATTACATTGACAATGCAAAAATTATATTATCAGCATATATAATACACATCTGATGCAAATGAAAAGGCCACGAATGTGGAAGCAGTTGCAAGAAGTAAAACTGACCTGAAAGAAAACTGAAACATAATTGAAGAAAGAAAACATTTAAGAAAACAGTCCAAATGAATACTATATCAAAGTAGTTAAACCATCCCCTCGTACAAAGTCTATCACAGAACATTGTCTTCACTTTTACAAATGCTCTACTGCACATTTTTGTTTCTCAGTAAAGTAGTGTAACCAATGCTGCTGCGAAATGAGGCATTTTGCAGCTAGGCATGAACGCCTTGCAAACTGCAAAGCGGTATAAATATCTTTGCAACTGCATAACAGTAAACTACACGCTCTTCTCATTCCTTTTTGGGACATCATAAAATTAGAACGATACAGAAAAGATTAGCATAAAGACATACAAATTGAGAAATGGTCCCAAAGAAAAACTACGTACTATGTGGTTAACAACAATGTACTCAACATCCGGATAGGGCGGGGTCGGGGAGCAACCTAAGTAACCTATGTATGACTTTCAGAACTCTAACCTCTTTCAGACTTCTAACATATGTACCCTAACTTTGTATTTTGACAAATCAGAGCTACATGTGATTACAGATATAGTACAAAATCTAATTTACTCTACCGGTTGAAGCCGGATATGAGGGCAGGGCCTATCTGGTTCTCCTCTTGTCCATAGATGCTTCAAGTCACCTCTTTTCTTCCCCAACATCAAAAACGTGCCTGACATAACAATAATAGATCTTAGTATACTATCACATCGAGCATTGGCGAACCCGTAGTTATATACGTGGGTTTGACAGAACCCACGACTTTCGGCTCAAACCTTATGTGTGTGTGTGTGTGAGTGAAAATAAGCATAAATAGGGTGATATATATCTCAAAACCCACAGCATATAAATTATGGGTCCACCAGTACTTAACAAGTATGTGATAAAGAAATGGACCTTGGGCCCAACTCAACCCCAAAAGCGAGCACTTGAGGTGAGGATTGCCCAAGACCATATAAGAAGACCAAATTCCCATCCCACAACCGATGTGGGAAATCAACATCCACCTTCACTGTCAGATTTTAAATACTGGCTGCTCTACTATAATCGCCTTTATACGCTTGATGTTACATACCTAATGTGCAAGGAACTATATATAGCAAAGCAGGTTGACCATGCCCATCCATCAAGTTCAGAGCCACATATGTTACAAATAAACCTGTACAGAGAAAATAAAAGTCAAATGAATTCGTGGGTGAATCTAGCAGAATTTAGTAATAGCTCGAAAATGCAATACATCATGTACATCCAAACATTTCAGCTGGTCACAAAAAACATGTTGACTTCTGATGACATGAAAGATATATATCGAGCTTAAATGGAGACATTTGGCCCCCCCAAAAGAAAAGAAAAAGGGACCTCAAACGTTGGGGATGCATAACCCTCAATGTCGAGGAAATGCTTTGTGAGTTCTGACATTCATCTGATCTGATTAGATAACATTAGTAGGGATGTGGGCAATTCTATGTAACAACCCTCTGTTTTTGCTCGACTAAAAGATGCAGGGAGCACCGGGGGTAGGGAGAGGGAGAAAGAGAGGAAATGTGAAAGCAAAAAACTACAGGATCTGTATTGACAAAGAGAAGATGGTATAAACATAGTTTAAGAACAAGTGCATAAGATAAATCAAATGTTATATGCAGAAGTTATNCAAATCTTGACATGAACACTACAAGTAATCCTGGTGTTAGACAGATGGGGCTTTGTGGAACTATATTGATGGACGAAATGCAATTATCATTCAGGTAGTGGTCAAACCTTAATGAAAATGCTACTACTAATCCTGGTAAAATTATGTCGCCAAACCCAATGATGCTGTAGCCACCCCAAGGATCAAACATTCGTGGGATTTTCAGTAACATGGGAATTCCATCTTCTCCGCTATTATCACCACGTGCAACCTGCCGCAGAAGCCAACAAATATACATTTGTCAACATCAACAAATTTCCATTCTGTGACAGGCAGGGTGGAAAGCACGTAAGCGAACCTAAAGTAGAAACAAACAATCAACTATGAGCATACCTCTATCATAACACTCTTGTGGAACAACCATTTGGAAACAAATACCCAAAAAATGTCATAGAAGAATGCACAAGTGAGAAGAACTGTTCCCACCTGATAAGGTCAAAGAAAAATAAATTAATTAGTTTCACTGCCAGTTCCTGTTAAAGAGCCACAGTTTGATTTTAGAGAGAACATAAAAGTAATCATATCCGAAGATAGCTTTCTGAAACATACTATTACTCCTTACTGTGCTTAATCGTTACAACTGCTTAGTTGCATGATAGTTGAAAGGCCAACAGAAGTACAAGATAAACTGGAGGGCGACAACCATTTCACAATGCTCTGTTAGGAGGAAGAGAACGAGGAGAAGCACAAAAAATGAAGTCGGTAAACTTTAGCTTTTTGAGCACTTATCAACTCACTAGTTGACGTATAAATTAAGGGAACCACATTAAGGAAGGAATGAAAGGTGCTGTCAAAAAAGGATTTGCTTGTGGTGTAAATACCAGAAACAATTACTTAACAAAATCCACAGCATAATGAGAAATGCAGCACAATGAATTGATTTACCTTGAGATTGGGAACTCGTATGATCTGGAGAACGGTAATGATCAACACAATACCCTAGTTAAGAGAAGGAAGAAAATAAGATCATCAGGCTCTTAGCTCAAATCATAATCTTTGTTGATAAGGTCAATTCTTCATTAATTGAAGCGATATACACCACATATACAAGATATTCCCTCTGTTTCAAAAAGATTCACTCTTTCCTTCTTAGTCTGTTCCAAAAGGATTGGCACCTTTCAATATTTCCTTAATAGGAAGCTTTTATAGCCACACAAATGCTATGGTAGGTTTCACACCACAAGTTTCAAAAGTTTTACATCCACACAAATGTTATGGCTTATTTAAGACCACATATCTCAAAAAACTCTTCTTTATTATAGTTTGTGCCAAATCAAACTAAGACAAACTTTTTGAAACGGAGGGAGTATTAAACTGATAAAAGACAGATACTATACTTGATCTTAGTCAAAAGGCCGTGAAAGGTATACACCACAAATACAAGGTAAATACAAAAACAAAAAGTTATGTAGCAATATGTTTATCTACAAACAACACCCGAACTTTGACGCTTATTGGAATATCACGTGTACTTTGCATAAGAGCTTTCAATTCCCATAAATGCTCTTTTACTTTTCTCCTTCCAATTGACCACATGAGCATAAAGAGGGTCACCTCCCGTGCTTTCCTCTTTTTCTTCCTCCTGAATTTCCCTCCAATTAATCCGACGATTATTGGCACACCTAATTAACTGCGCTTCACAATCTAATTTTGAAGTGGCACTGTACTAAAAGGTGGTTCACATGCTTCCATCCTCCTTACACATGAAGCACCAACTAATTTATATTTTTCTTCTCAAGTCTAAGGCTCCACTTCGGCATAGTTACTATTTCATACTTGCAAAAACTGAACTTCAAGTGATTAAAATATTGATTTGAAGGTGCATTTCAAGCAAATAAAAAAAAAGATGGATTCCACTTGCAAAAACCTAAGCTTCCACAAACTCTGTTTCCAAGTAAAGTTCATGTCGAGGCACAATTTCAACTTCCATAAACTTTTTGCCAACTTCAACCTTAGATACTCTTTTTTACCAACTTCAACTCATATAATGTCCAAACGACTTAATTAATACATGTATTTTTACCTCTTTTATAATAAGAATGTCTTTTCACTATAATATATAAAAAATTTAAAATAATTAATATTTTTGTCTCTTGAGATCAGGCAACCCATGGGAAAAAATACAAGCAGAACTCCAAAAGCATGCGCGCTGATCTCTCGGCATAAACACACACCAAACAAACTAACTCGGACCAAGAAGCTACAACATCACATCTCCCATGTTTCCATAAAATACTCTTTACAGGTATGATTAATTTCACTTTTTACAGAAAATACGATATCACAGCTGAAGTATAATACTTCCATGGGAAAGAAAGTTATACTTTTTCTTTTTATAAAAGAGAGATAAAAAGGTGTCCAAGAATGCAGGTAGGTCAATATAAGTGCTGAGGTTTTTACCAGAATTTTGATAATACAACTTTTTCTCTCACAGTAAATATATTTAGGTACACATCTACTCTTTTTTAACCATATCATGACTTCATGTTGACAAAATACAAACAGCTTTTTTTTTTGTCTTTGAAGTACATAAAAACGAGTTTATTCTTCGATTGAATAAGTTTCTATCACCACTACAAAATGTTAATCCTTTAGAATTTCCACTTGCGCAGAAGAAAATATCAAAACCGTTTGCACACATCATCCCATGCCAAACGTTACATTAAAGCATATCTTTGACCGTGGGTAGATCATTGCACTACAGAGGTAGACTGCTGGATTTTGAAAATGAAGACAAAAAATTGAAAAGGTAACAAGTGTAATATGATAATAGTTCTTACAAGTATGTCTTGACCTATCCAAGCAAAGGAGACACGGCGGAAAACCACCCACATAACAGCGAAAGCTAAGCAGAACGGAGAAATTGCCAGCGAAAGATATGAAACAGGCCCCAGAAGTGGAACTTTAACAACCGATTCATGAGCATGTTCAAACCATCTGAAACTATAAAAAATGACCATTAGCCAGGTATCTGAGGACCAACTTATGAAATGCCATTATGGTATGTAAAGTGAATTACACCTTGTTTCAAGAATAAAGTAATAGAAATCTAGTATCCATCAACAATACTATTGATGATGACGGGAGAGTAGCAATTACCAAATGTAACTGTAACTGCTCTATTCTGAAAGGATAGCCCTATCAAACATGAAAGATTGGGCAGAACTCAAACAGACTAAAATGCTTGACCTGATGAGCCGTAGGAAACCCAAGCCTATGAGATGCCCAAACAATTTTGTAGTACTCTACTGCGAAAACGATATCATTTCTATTTCTTTTTTAAAGAATTCTTTGCCTTCCTCAAAAACTATGACTTCTTGAAGCCAAATAATTCCAAGTAACTGAAAAATCATAGATTTCAGAAAAGGCTCCTTGGAATTCTTAAAGGGGCCACTATCCTACACAGAATATACATTTTTCCACTTCAAGGAGTCAACGACTTATCTATGACTAAGACTTTATATACACCTTTTCAATTTTCTAAAATACAAAAGTGCCACATAAAAGTACTTCCTTAGAAGTATGCTAAATCGCCATAGTTTGGTATCTCTGTTTACTAAGTGAACTGTTTGTTATTCTTAGCCATTTCACCCTTACTAGCAATAGGTAGTAGTTTAATATTTTTCGTGGAGATAAGTCAACAGATGGATGCCTTTGTGAACTACTACTAAAAAACAAATTAAAGGCACAGACTACGACAAAAGACTTCTGAAATGCTATGGTTTGAATTAAAAATGGAAGAGCTAATCTTTTATAATTTTACCTCTCATTTGGTTTGCTCAGGGAGAACACTTCCTCTGTCATTGTTCTATACCAATTATTTAATTACAGTCCTTCCAAATCTTATTCCTTTCGCTTTTATTTTATTTTGGTAGTTATGTATGAGCTAAGCTTGAAGAAAGAAAAGGATTCAAATCGTTGACCCAACTTGTTTGGGACTTAGGCATAGTTCTTGTTGCCTTTCAGATCTCATTCCACATATGTTGATCTTTGCTTATGAGTGTCATGCTATTATTGCAGTGTGTGACATTAATGTGCGTATATTTGAATTCTCCAAATCCGAGAATTACACTTGAGGTCCTTGAACTCAAGGGAGAAGTTTAAGGAGGACTTAAAGAATGTATAGTTGATAGAAACTCGCATTGGTAATTTGCCAGCTGCCCTCATTCCTGGTTTTCCTCGGAGGAACACATTTTTCTTTTGAGAAAGTCGGAGGAACACATATCTTTATCAATAAATTTTTGAATCGGAAAAAGAGAAGTGCGATAGTGGAAATTTAAAACTAATGAGCACCTTCATTCATTAAATGAGAGGGATTCTGCATTTTACCACTACAATGGTTAACAGAACGAAAGATTGGCGGGGATTGAATCAGCCAACCACCCAAGAATACCAAATAATGGAAACTGGGGAAGTTTCAATTTGGTCCCAATTGTATTCTCTTCCAATCCACTTCCTCTTCGCCCTCCCTTATTTTGCACAACAAACCATTTGATATACCATAATTAAGATAACAATTAGTAACAACAATACAATAAACATACCATGATAACAAGGCCACCAAACAGGTTTGTAGACCCTGCAATTACAATGAGGGAAAAGTGTCAGCATGGACTTCATATGTTGTCACGTTGAGACAATATGATCTTTATTCCATTCATTTTGTTCATATACTTCCTATACATAACTATCCCATGCTAGCAAGTCATTACCTAAAATCAAATCACCTACACATGGAAGTTATCCAGAAGTACAGATGAAAATGCCCTTAGTTGCTATTTTTAGAGCTTTACTAGTGGAACTACAATTAATACTCCCTCCGTTTAAATTTATGTGATGAAGGCACGGAGTTTAAGAAAAAAAGGAACACTTTTGAAACTTGTGGTCTTAAATATGCCGTAATATTTGTGTAATTATAGCACATTTGAAACTTGTGGTCTTAAACATTTCATAACATTTGCACCTAAGGGTGTGACCTAGTGCTCAATGAAGTAGGTTGAGAACATTGAGGTCTCAGTTCAAATCTCAGCCGAGGCAAAAACACCAGGTGGTTTCTTCTAATCTGTCCAAGCCTTGGTGAACAGAGTTACCTGGTGGTACTTATTACTGGTCGGAGGTAGCAGATATCCTGTGAAATTAGTCGAGGTGCTCGCAAGCTGGGCCGGGCATCACGGTTATCAAAAAATAAAATATTCCATAACATTTGTATGACTATAAAAGCTTTTGATTAGGGTAAAATGGAAAGTTTTAAAGTTATATTGTTCCTAGATACAGAAATGTATCCTTTTTTTGGAACGTACTAATAAGGAAAACGTCACATAACTTGGAATAGAGGGAGTACATTGTATCCTTGGGTTAAGGCTCCTCAGGGTTTAGTTATGCATGGTTTAATTACGAAGGCATTGGTTATGTAAGGATTAGTAATGCATGGATAGTAATTTTATGGATTGTAATGTAGAGATTTTTTTTTTTAAATGTTTACTTTATTTTAACTATATCATGTGTAATTTAAAATAAATATGAGGTTTTTTTGGTCATTTGATTGTTTAATCCATGTATTACTAATACATGTATTAATCATTCCACATTCTACCTTGCATAAATAATACATAAATTTGTTGTATAACGTATCCATGTATTACTTATACCCCCAATGGAAAAAGCAACCAAACATAACATTAGTTATGCTGACTTTTGTACAAAGTACTTAAAGGCTACCAAACATGGTATTAGTTATGTTACTCCTAATACATGAATAACTTACCCTATAACCAGCTACCAAATGACTCCTATGTGATCATCTCATCTTAAAGCTTAATAAGTTGTTAGAGAGAATACATCATCAATTAATGTCTTCAATAGCTATGACATACCTCAACGCCACCGATGCAAAATAGGACCACCAGAACCTCAATAAACCAGAAAGACATCAACTTGTAAAGCATAATCAAGAAGCAAGATGCAACCACCACGAACAGAAGTGCTGATGTTGTGCTGATGTCCAATACACCACCGGAATGGGTCACCTCCTTGCCACCATAATCATCTGAGCCATCCTACAAGAGCAGATACATAGTTCAACCAAATTGTCAATGAGAGGTGCAATGAGCATTAGTGTATCTAAAAGATGCATCGACTGTCACTAGAGAGTGGGAATATAAACAAGGAATGACTATGACCCACTTTTAAGAACTTGTCCTGCTCAATTGCTGCTTCTCTGGCACTCCATGCAGACCAATAAGAAGCACATAAAATGGTAGCAACCGCCATAAGCCATAAAAACACTTCAGCAACATCAACAGTTGGACGTTTTGGAGAGTATAGCTGCACAGAAACTGAACAGATGGAAAGTCTGTAAGTGACAATGGTGGGAACAAATCCACATGGATAGCGGCCTAACCTGCATCCCCTTCCAAACACACACCACCCCCAAACCCCC